TTTCATTTCTGGGCTACACACAAAGGCCAAGGGTCTGCCTTCTTTCACCATGCTTGCTCGAGCGTGGGCCGAGAATAATAGCTGAAAAGCGGGCTGAGGATCTCAATTTTTACGGCGGCTCTACCCATGTCCCGGCCTAAAGGGGTTAAGCTCGCTGTTGTGGGCACTAATCCAGTCAACATGTTACATACAAGATAGATTCAAAACAAACAGTATGGGCAAGCCCTCAAGCAACATAAATAGCCTCACAAGTACAGTTATCATGATACCATCAGGAATATGTCCGTCAGTTCGTAGAATTTGGTTTCCTAACTGCAGATTTAACCTAAAACACCACTAAAATCCTTTAGAGATGCTGGGTGGATCCTGACAACTGCATGCCGTGCAAGGGAAAAAACTGCCCGTAAATTTTCCCTTAGCACAAGAAATGGTAGCAGAAGGTGGGATAACCAAATGGATGTGTTCTTTGGCTTTGATAAAAAGGACCACCAATTGGCAATGCTCACTGCAGCATTGGGAACTTACCAAGCCACTTGACAAAGGATGCCAGCATGGATATGACCCCTTCCATGTCCCACATGTAAGGGTACAGGTCGTAGAGCAGTGAGCGGTTGGGGATGTTGAGAAGGCGCATCATCATTCTGTGCACCTGCCGGCTGAAGTCCACAAAATTAGCAGCTCGGTCTGCCCACTCAATTGCCTAGTCATAGCAAAAACAAAGAACCCCAAAGTGTTAACAAATTGAAATCACTACCAACCAAAGAAATATAACAAGTACGCTGTTTGACACACATCAAGTTAATCACAGCTCACACACTTTAAGGTGCATCATGCATCTATAAATTGTTTCTTTTATCATAAGCAGCATCAACTGCCCTGGTCTAAGATTTGGGTTTCTACATGACACACTCCTAAGAACTGAAGTCCTCCCTATTTACTCTTAACCCCTTGCCTACAGGAATTTTTTCCTGAAAGCCGACTCCAAGAATTCCAGCCTCGCTTGGCCACAAAGACTACTTGCCAAACCGCAAATTCTCGGTTTGTGGCCCTGCGTGCTCTGCACGCTTTGAATTGCACGGTGAAAAGGCAGATTGTTTGGTGGCATGCGGCTCTACTCACCCTTCCACATTCCCGTTGCCTCTTTTCAAAGTAGGGACTATTGTGAAGCTGGTGATTATGATGCCAATTCAGTCTTTTCATTTCTGGGCTATGCACAAAGACCAATTACCATATATAATAGAGGCAGGGTCTGCCTTCTTTCACCGTGTTTGCTCGAGTGTGGGCCGAGAATGATAGCTGAAGAGCAGGCTGAGGATCTCAATTTTTACGGCGGCTATACCCGCCTCCCGGCCTGGTAGGAAGGGGTTAATACAGAAGATTCCCATTACAGCACTCCTGATATAACGCTCTTACCGATATAACGCTCTGTTTTCATTTCCCCAACTGCACGCCCATTCACTGATTACATTTTTCTGTGGTTACAGCGCTCCCATTTACTACGTTTTTCAGGATATAACACTCACGATATTCAGTCCCCAAACCACATAAAGCATGTGAAATGATTCCAGTTACAGCGCTCTTTACTTGCAAAGTCAGAATCTTGAAGTCATGGGGCACATGAAATGTGAGCGTAATTACAACAAACTTAACTTGCTCTGGTGTGGCGGCATTGTTGTGATTATTTTCCCACTTTTTAGTTATTCTTGTGGTGTAGTCTGACACACAAATAATCAACATTGAAATACTACATATTTCATTGCGTGTACTGTACGTGTATCTTCATATAGCACATCTCGTCTTTTCGCAGATTGTGTTCGGCATGACATGTCGCGTCTGTTTTCACTTGGGTTTTCTGATGATTATCACTTTCTACGGTCACATGGTTATTGGAAAAAATCAGTGATAAGACTGTCAATGAATGGGTAGGCAGTAGCAGTCAGGATGTCGCAGTGGGTGTGGATGCAGTGTTTGTGTCACGATGCAGTATGCATGAGGTCCCATGGCGGTTTTTGAAGAGATTTGGTGGTGTTTTTTTTATTGGCATCACTAAAACGTCCATATAACCAGATAAAAGGTATACATGTATCTTCCAAAAATTACGGTGAACACATCTGCCAATACATGTAAACGTAATTCACATACCAGTACGATACATGTGGATACATTTACATGTACATGTATCTATACACTGTACATATACAAAGAAGTACATGTGCACATGTGCGTTACACGTTGCGCATCCATCCAGTCGGTTATAGTGCTGTGCTGTTATAACACTCAATTCCGTTAGGTCCCCTAAAGAGTGCTATAATGGAAATTTACTGTAATACAACTGCTAGCCATATCATGATGTAATACAGTGTGATATGTATTTGCAATGTACTTACTTTATATTTGTACTTTCCTCTTTATCAGAGCTCAAACTTAACCCTAACCCCCTAGGCTCCTGCACTAGAAAAGCATACTGAACCTCACAAAATCCAACAGGTTCATGTACTTGTACATGCAGGTCACTGTACCAAACCTGATAAACTCCAACAGAATGAGCCCGTTGGAGTTTGAGTGATATGGTATGGATGGGTCTATGCAGTATAGGATGACTTGAACTGAACAGTACCAAACCTGGCAAAATCAAGCTTAGTCCAACAACTGGCACAGCAAGCCAGACACTGCACACAATGAAACCTGTGTGTCCTGACTCACACAGAATCCAACACCATCTCCCTGGGCCTTTCATCCCAAGTCTCACAAAATTCAACAAGAAGTTCCTCAGGTACGGTACCAAACCAGCCAAAACCTCACAAAACCTGCTGTTGGAGAATGGCAGGTTTTGGGTAGTTCGGGTTAATAATCTAGAAGGAATAAATTAATTCCAACAATCAGCCAGAATGACATATGACATACTCCAACACATGACATTTTTCTTAAATGTGTGAAATAGGCTGCGGGTACAGCAGCATTTTACAAAAAAGGCAAAAGAGAGCAATGTTTTCTTTTACCATATCAGATGGATCAGACTTGAGTTTGGACTCGCTGACTTGATGTGCGTTCATTTTCAACCAGTGTATCTCCTCCAGCATCTTGACTGCTTTCTTGCCGTGTTCATATGGCAGATAGAAGAGTTCCACCAGGAGCAGCACGTCCTCTACGGTGATCCTCTCCAGCTTCTTGGCATGCTTGTCTGTGTCTAAATCCTCATCGGGGATGTCCGAGTCTGGCTCGGCGGATTCAATGTTCACGTCCTCGGGTTGACTATCTGCATCGGCGCCATCACTCTGCATCTCCGTGTCTGTGTCTGTCGTTGTCTCGGCCATTGCCTCCACCTCCGCAGTCTTTTCTCCTGCATTCGGTGCATTCTCAGGGCGAGCCTGGCTCTCCTCGGAGTCCTTCTCGAGAGTCTCGTCAATCTGCATGGCGACCTCGCTGACCTTGCACACCGTGGTGGTGGTGGTCGGGACGTTGGAGCTCATCTTCGTTGGGACAACGCTCGGTGGGAGCGATGGCAACGGCACATCTGCCTTCTGCGAGAAGTCTCCGTTGCAGTCCATGGGCTCCAGTGGGTCACTAGGTGCAAATGCACTGGTGACGAGCGAGTTGACAGGGTTAGGAATTGGCTTGAAGTTATCAGCCCCTTCGCTGACGGCAGCCAGGTTATCGAACGCCTTCTTGTTTTTCAGGAGTTCCTCTGCGAGCTGCCCCTCCCCTGGGGAGGGAATTTCTTGCCCGCTGGACGTGGTGGGAGTTGTGATGCTCATACAGGTGTTGATGCTGGGTATGGGTGGGGCCGTAGGAGGCACAGTCACAAGAGCTGGGGCCAGTAACCGTTTCTCACTTGTTGGCACTGCAGTCATAATCACGTCCATCCACTCAGTGACTGCAGCTTTGAGTGCCAAGTCTGGATCGTACAGCCCATGGTTTGGATAGTTCCTATGTGATGGGACAGACTCATTTTCTCCTTCCGTTTCCAGTTTAATTTCTGCTTCAATGGTGGGATTTTCAGAGGAGCTTCCTGCATCATGGTCAAAATAAAAAGCTACTGTCAAGCTGTGTGTATGAGATCATGCAGTGAAACATGAGTTGAAATTCCAAGGGTCATGGTTGTTTTTTTGGGGTGATATTACTTTATAATTTATGATATCTTTATATTGTTACGTTACGCATGCCTTGTGAAGTTGCGAAGGATGAGAACAATTTCGGAGTTAACGCATTAGAAAATAAATAATAATATACTGGTACTGAAAATGGAAGTGCGGTCATTTTCTGCACTTGACAGCACTTTTAGTAAAGTCACCACCTTAAATTGGTCTATGTATATAGATCACTCCATGCATAGCCTTAGAATAGGAATTACTGACCTTATGACCCATGAGACTGGGGTCAACTTATTGGAACATTTAAACATACACTAACAGGCAAAATGTTCCATGTGTACATGCACTTGGTAAGGCCAAACAAAATAACAGTTGTGCTTCTGGTTACCCGCCCCAACCTAGCAAATTGTACAAAGCCTAAATCTTTAAATTAGAAAAAAATAGAAATGAAAAAATACTGTTGCCAACCCTCATGCTTATTTTTATACACAAATTTATGTAGTTTTTTTTAGATTTTTACCTTTTTTTGCTTAAAAAATGATGTTTTCTCATGAGTTAATTTTTCACGGCAATGTAAGTCGTCGGCAAGGTCCGTCATGATCAAGTGTCATACAAACGCATGCCATACGCATGACGTGGGGCCTGTTCAGAGTTTAACACGATGCCCCCTACAGCCTATTCGTTTGTGCATTTTATCTGCTCGCCGGACATAAACTATCATTAATATTAAATGCAAAAGTAGTCTTGGGCCCAGACTGTGTATTGTGCTCACTCGCATGTCAAGCATGTTGTGCTTACAAGCTTGAAGTACATGTATGCTTGCTCGCGTCAAGGTGGTGGACAACATGCAGCGGGCCGGGAGGAACGTTCACCTTGGAATTTTGGAAATGCACTCCCAACGCCTTCGCTGGCACAAATTTCAAGGTCACTGACAAGATCGATGTCGACATGACGCTGACCTTTGGGGACATGCCCTCACCCCTTTGATCTGCTCTTCCCGAAACTAGTCTGGCCAAACAATTTAAGCATGTTATAACAACAGACAAATTGAGTGACTCAGGGACACAACTCATACATACATATATATAAACAGTATATACACGGTGGTTTTTGTTAATTTTATTTATATTTTTTGTATATTAGTTTTATCTGTAGGCCTAGGCGTATTAGTTCTGTCTTTCATGTCATGTAAATAAAGGCATGATTTTGTAAATAAAGGCATGGTTTTGCAGACACTTGGAGATACATGTAATACTTTCTGAGTTATTCAAACCCAACCTGCCTCTCTACAGATATTTTAAGCCACTTGACCATAGATATTACAATCCAGTTTTTGCTGCTTGTCATATTCAAATCTAAACCTTTCTTACATAGCTGAATAATGTTCAAGAATGTTCAAACATTTCCGACCTTAAAAGTTTTGACCCAAAAAATTTAGAAAAAAAAAAGAGATACTACCCACCTACCCAACCTATTTTTTCGTTTGGCCTAACTAAAGTCAACCAGATAACACAGATACTCAACTGAAATGTCAAATATAAGTAACGTTATGCTGTTTAAGACTATAAAATGTTCCATTTGTAATGGCACACATGTATGAGGAAACTGGTTGATTAAAGGAAAAGTTCTAACAGGGAAGGCACCATTGTCAGGGTGCACATTTGCTTTTCCTCATATACGTGCATGCTCCCTTCTATTCATATCCATTATTTAATTAACAAATTTGGCTTTTTTGTTGAAGAGGTCTTGTGACACTGCATGTTACCACAAGTTTGTCCGTCTCTTTAAACAAACATCATTTTCAGTTAAGCCACAAAATCAGATTAATCAATGCATTGTATTGATGTACAGTCACGGATGAAAATGACTTACCACCAGGTTCCTCCTTGTTTTCGTCAGTCACTCCATCACAACAATGTGACCACGTGGCCAGAGTGTGCAAGGCAATGTAGTTGGCTTCATATTCACAGTTGGGGTTGGTCAAAATGCCGCTGATGTAGGAATGTAGCTCAGAGGAACGCCCTTTGAATGGACCTACAACAGTGACAATGTATCACAGAGGAGACTCGACGATGGCGACAATGATACTATGTTTGTACCACGGAAACTATGTGACCATCACATTGGAGGCTAAGTGTACTACAATTCTGGACCCAATGTCTTGGTGCTACTCAGCAAAAAGAACTGCTTAACAAATTTATCAAGCTGTTTTCTGGGCCAAAATTGACTGACAATGAGTATAAGCCATAGTCATACAACATTTTGGCTTGACACCTGCTTTTGCTACTCAGAAAACATCCATGGCGCATATAAAGTTGACATAATTAGCACTTTTGTAAAACTGGTACGAGGATGAACACAAACACTGATTTCAGCTGACAAAAAACAGTGCAGAACACCGTTCCTACACACACAGAAGCTGTTTTGATGGGCATTCAGGTTTAGATTTCTCTACTCACCAAGGAATATCCTCTTTTGGTCATAGTCATTGGCATGGACGTTATCCCAGATGACGGGTTTTCTCTTGATCACCTCTGTCAATTCAAGGATGGACTCCACAGAAATCGTTTTTGATACGACTTTGGGTCCTGAGCAGTGAAAGGGGAGACTTTAAGGTTTAAGGCTGCAAATTCCAACAGGAGATAAATATGATATAAAATGTTTACAAAGAAATTGTTGCCATTAGAATGTGTTCAACTTCTGAAAATTTGCACTATGACTGTCTTCGTGCTACAAAATTTGCAAGCCAGTAACGTTCATGCCGACACTGACATTCCATTACATGCAACCCATGTTACAAATGTCTATGTAGCTAACTCCACAACTGATCAGGAACTGTAATGACTGAGAATGTATCCAAATCAAAAGGGCCTAGGGGGTTGGGTTAATGGAAATGGTCGTGAATGCCTGCTATATGGATTGAAGCATCTTTAATTGAGATCCACGTATATAGGATGTGACATGTCCAAATTCAACAAGGTTCAGAATGTTTTGCAGAATCCATGTGAAAAAAAGGAAACAACCATCTAGTGTTGTCATTAAAACAGCGAAAGACAAGACGTAAGATTATCCTTCATTGTCACCCACTACCATTGGCCGGGCACCATGATGTTATGTATGAATCTCAATTCCTCAGGCTTGCTACTTGCACTAGTTTATTACATGTGTATGTCCGGAGCTCCAGCTTAGGCCCCGTGAATAAAACCGTATATTATTAAGTATTACTGGGAAAAACTCGGGGAAAGGAATGTATTCATTTTTTGTTTGTTTCTTTGTTTTAAGGCTAATATTCCGTATGCTTTTAGGTGAGCTGCGAAGGATTACAGAGAACTGAGAAAGGCTGAGTCAAGCTCCCATTACTTTCCATAGGGCTAGATGTATCTTGAAATCCAAGAACAAATAGAATGCCATTGGGATCATGTGTAACGGTAGTAATATGGGAATTTAGGAAGGTTCCTAGCACAAACGCAGAAGTCCCTGGTTTTACCTGTCCACATGATTTTGATGTCTGGGAGTAGTTTGGAGCCGATTGTCCGCAGATACTCAGACTTCCGGACGGATGGTTCTGCTCTCGATGCACAATACTCTGTAAATATAGAAATGACCTCCGTCTTTTCATCCTATTTAACAAACACAGCTTCATTTCCTTTTTAGAGTTAAAATTATTCTTCACAACATTTGAAAATAAAAAACCTCTCACATGGAAACTGTCTAACACAGATAGGTTACAACCCAATTAGTGGGGGAAAATGAAAACAAATAATGGCAAAAAACCACAAAAATGCAGTAAAAATAACTTTGACAAAACTGCAAAGGAAGACCTCTTAATTATTAAATTTTTTTGTTGATGTAGCTCAGAAAATACATTTGGGCAGATTTTCACAGGATAAGTTTCTAAGTGGAGACAGTAATGAGAGACCTTAACCCAAATCTGTAACAAGAAAAACACCTTGTAAAGTGGGCATTTCCAATACGCTCAACAGAGTATTTCTGTTCTCTGAGTTCAGAATACCATTGAGGGAAATTCTAGATAGATATGTGAAGAATATAAACAGAGAAAATTATACTGGGGACTCTAAAATGACTTCAAAAGTGTTAACATGACACAAGACAGTTGCTACTTTGTCTATGAGTTTGTGTAAACAGGAGACATTTCAAGAAATGTTAGCAATATTTCAAAACCACTTTCACAGAGTGGGCTACATTACCAGTTGGACAGAACAGGAACTTGGGTTGACCAAGATGCTGAAAGACCTCATTAGTTACGGAGACCTGAGCATGGGCAAATGTCTGAAACACCTCCTTGTCAGCTGCACACATGTCAGTGTCAATGTCGTCAAAGAGGAGAGAAAATGCTTCGCACCCAAACTGCCGTACCTGAGACAATTGAGGGAAAAAGGAAAGAAAAAAATTAAACCTGTCCCATAATTGTTTCATGATGCAGACAATGTCCACATCTATAGGATATTTCTATGATTGAGGACAGTGCTGGCAGCATGCCAACAAACATCAAATTTGCACACATACGTAGCAAATCTCAAGTTTTGTTTTCAGCGGCAGTCAAGTTTGTGCAGTGGATCTATCTTTAACAGCTGACAATTCCAACAGACTCAAAAATTTGTATCTAAAACAATTCAGCCATTCCTATTGATCAGAAGCCTGTTACGTGGCTAGTCTCCAATGTGGATAAAGCACCCGCTGGCTATGCACCATCTATGCACCATCTCATCATGCGCGCACTAGCCTTGGTCAAGGCATTCGTCATCAGTCGCACTGCACTAGCAAGCTATCCACAACCTCACTTGTGTACACGTACATTTGTGTATGGTTTGCATATCACACTGGCCATGTAACGTCAACCTTTGGCTAGATCTTTCCACTGCATATGAAAAACATCACTGGCAATTGCCAACGGATGACCAAGGCTATGCACTTACCAGTCTCCACATTAGGAAATTGTTTACAGCTACTCATGAAAGACAGATACAGTAACATGGTTAGAAGGGTGTTTGAAAAAAATTAAGTAAAACTGTTCAACAAAAATCAATGGAAATGTACCGGTATACTGATTTTTAGTTTGTTTAGACTTTCTGGTGCAAATGCTATTCATGAATGGGAATAAACAGGTGCTTGACTGGTCTTAAATATTTGTTTAAACTGGCCCCAAAGAACGGACACATAATACAACTTGCCGCTGGCTCAGACCATTATTAGTGTCCATTTTCCTGACCAGTCTAACATGAACATTTGCTTTTATGGAATATACATACAGTCATTGCAAAAGCTTAGGACCACCTATACTAAATGCATTAACCAGAAGAAAAACCAAACTTAAACCAATCAATCATGCTGCCTTATAGACAAAAAAGTCATACAAGGCCTGCCTGTGCAAAAATATTCATTCAAATGGTATACAGCACTACACTAAGGTTATGCACCACTGTAAAAACATGTTAAGTAATCGTTCAATGAGACAATGTAATGTAGGCCCAGTGACAGAAGTACCAATAAAATTCTAGGTGGTCTTAAACTTCTGCAAATGATCGTATACATGGGTATCTCCCTGTCTTCCCTGCTCAGTGGGTTGAATCACTAACATAAAAGGACCGGTGAACCTGTACTTTATTCTTGCGATGTACAACGGCAGCTCAAGGAACCCCCCACACATACCTGCTCCAGTTTCCGCTTCAGACATGTCACTTCTTTGGCACTGGAGAAGGTTATGTCCAGGCCAGGAGACAAAGCGTAGACAAAGTCCACATTGTGTTCTTTAGCTGCGTCTATCAGGCCAGTTAAATGCTCTGTGACAAAAAGAACAAAAAAAACAACAAACTAAAACCACTAGCAAAAGCCACATTGGCCAGCTGTTATCTTAGAACCTTGCAGTTCTGCCCAAGGCCATCAATTTCCCACTTCTAAGCAAGCAAAAACATCAAATGCTATGAACAATGCACTTCGAGATGCCATGTTGTCAAAACAGTGAGTCTGACCTGTGCATAATCTTATTGACAGGGCCTTAGATTGTGGACCATTGTTTTAAAAATGTACTCTTTGACAATTCCTTACCAGCTTCCTCTACAGAGTACATGTCACGCCAGTACATGCGATGCTTGCAGTCGTCTTTTGGTGCATACATGTATGTGTTAAGCTTCAGCCGTCGCATGAGGGCAAACAGGTTCTTGCGCTGGCTGGTGGTCCATGGCCGGCCATAAAAACCTCCAATGTGAAAGGAAAAGTGAAAAGTGATGAAGAAACAATGTTAGAAAAAAGGAAGGCCATTATATCATATGTCATCAGGTTTCACTTACTTACACCCTATCTCACTTTCTTTTCATATTTGTGGCTCTAGAAGTATTAAGTTTCCAAAATTGTTCTACATCTGCATTCCAACTTTTAATACAAAATTCACAATGACAACGATTATGACCATGGAACCAGATAGAGATTTGTCATGGTAAAAACTAAACTTAATCTATAACTTAACAAAATCACAATCCTCCATGATTCAAGACCCCTGCAAAATTGAGGTAAAAATTGGGAACTGGTACATGTCAAAAACAAAATTCATATCCGGCCATCATAATCTTAAGTTTTATGATACAGTTTTGAAAAAATGACTTAATCTTAATTTTGATTACATGGCAACGGATCCCAAGTATCTTGGGATTTATAGCCGCAGGGGATGACCTAGGCTAACGTAAGAATAAGGCATGTATATTCTGCCAAAAATGAATCGAAACGTAACTCTACATATCATTTATCAAAACTACTAAAAGAGTGACTTTGGTCACTTAAAACACAAATTTGCAACTTGTAGATTTACAAAAAAGATTATTTGGGGACAATAAGGCACACAGTGTACATTACAGGTATGTTGACATTTAGTTGGCTACCACAGCAAACCAAACAGACTTTTTAAGTAAAAAACAATTGTTTTTAATTTTCAAGTAAAATTTTTAAGTAGTGTTTGTACCAGACGGCTTAATTGCAAAACTTCTCTCATCGACAAAGAATATTCATTATCTTTTTCAACAGACGTATTTTAAAGCCCCCTAGAAAGACCTTTACAGAAAAATGAGCTATCATTTGGCTCTCTTCATTCTCTTACTGTTTAAAATCACTCTCACTGTGCCAGAACTGCCAGGTCTTATACATGTACCCTTCAATCACCAAGAATAATCTTAAATTTTGACTGCATCAAAAATATATCATGAGTACTTACAACATGTTTGCTGCGAATGTCATTATTTGTTTTTGTCAAATATGATACGCAGCATTTTTTTTTGATGACAGTCAAGAATTTTGATGGAAAATGCATGATGTTCATCATTACTAAAAATGCTGTCATACATTTATGTAGTGCTCAAAAATTCAATGCATGTTAGTTTTCAAGATATTCCCATTCAGAGAAGTGCTTAACTGTTCAAGAGGTAGGTAGTCTTAAGTGTAAGGTCATCGTTATTCAAAAAATTATCAGTCATAAGTCCCCTCATTCCACCAGACATTGTGAATTAATTCACAGCTATTCATTTCTCACATTTTATAGAACCTGTCTTGGGGCCTAACTTTACTTGGCCGGCTCAGACCATGCAAAATCAGATTAGGCCTAGGGTCTAATTAATTTTTTTCCAACATGCCAAATCTGAAATAAGGAGTCCGGCACTTTTCAGTTTTTTTTATTTGACCCCCACAAATTTAGTACCATTGGAAAGAGAATTTCACAAGAAATTGAATGGTATAAAATTTAGCTCAATAGCTGTAGGTATGGTGATGTTATGAATTTTTTTGTTGTTAAAATTAGGTGTAATCAGTCCGTCACTTTTTGAGGGTGGACATAAGTTTTATTTTCATCAATGTATTTAAACCACATGGAGTCTTACTCCTCATTGGTTCTACTTCCAGACATGCCAGAGTTGGACAAAGATCTGTAGTAGTTAAGTCACAGAGGAAGTGTAAAGTAAACAATATCTTTGATTATGGAGAACTTTATCAATAATAAACACAGGATACGCGTACATGTATACAGTAACAGGACAGTTGAGTTGGGCTTGAAATTTTTAGTGATGTGTGAAAGATCACTGAAGCATAGTTTTGATGTGATATTTTGTCATCAATAAATAGCTCTATAAAAATAGCGGACCAAGTCTGTCAGGTGTCATTTTAAGTCTGTGTTTGACAGGGTCTTTTGATACCGGTAACATTTGATTGAAGCAACATGTGTGGTTTATGCGCTTGTTATATATGCATCTTACTCCCTGTGCACCATGCATTAATCTGATGCACATACATACACCATATGAGCAAAGTTACACGACAGCACCCCAATACAAAAGGGCTGTTCGGCACCAGTTCAACATTGATTTTTTACAAAAAAACAACTTCCTTTTCTTCCTGAAATTCCAAGCTTCCAAATAAACACTGTTCCATATAAGTTTCATCAACTTCTTATACATGTTTTTGGGGATTTTCAACAGAAAAATGCACATTTTTTGTTACCGTTTTGTAGTCTTTACAAATCAAAACCAGGCTTGACAGTGCTTTATTCAAATGCCTTGAGTCATACATGAATTGAAAGAGTATTTTAAGCTCTACAAGATGATGACATCATCGTTCTAAACCCGGTTGAGTCTCGTGAGATATTAGGCTTAGACCAGACTATGTCACACAACAACAAACAAAGATGGCTGTACACAGTTGTTGACATGGTGAAGTGGCTCTGATCTTACATTATTTTCATCATACTTCACACCTAAAACTCGGTGCAAACAGACATAACAAATGGTAGTAACACAAATTTCCACTCTTTTACAACACAAATGCTTTTTAAAATATAGAATTTGATGCACAAAAAGGGCAGAAATCGTTGATTGAAAACAAACACTTTTACACGCCGTCAGTTTCAGATATAAAATTTAGAGGTGTCGTTTCACTGGACTCCCTACCTGACATCCTGAACATGCTGAAATTGTGAAAAGCCAAAAGGACTTGTCTTCAAACTTCAAAGTTTAATTTACAAACCATGTTAGGCCTACAGTGTGGGTGGCATTTTTCAATGTCTGATGGTGAGTAGCTTATGCAGTGGCCAGATACAGAACTCTTCCTAAACATGCCAAAACGACATGGAACTTGGTAACTTGCTGGTGACAGCGATAGGCAGGCAGGCCTCGTCGACATCATGGTCGGGCCATGGCCCATGATCAGATGATGTCATGTGTTGGCTTGACTGTGGTTCAACTCACCTTCCACAGCGCCACAGTGAAACGTCGGTGGAATCATGATTCTTATGTCTAGTTTCGACATCAAAGAATAATCGAGGTCATACTTGTTGTATCATTCTGAACTCCAGCTGCTTCAACAGTCTAATACAATTTCCTTAAAATGCAAACTTTAAGCTTAGGCCTACTTCAGTAGACGAAATAATGGCACAAACATGACAGAGCTACAAATTTCATTGTAGAGCTAGGGCTAGTGCTCAGCCAGTCAATACCAATCATTTTACGCTAGACTTCATTGGACAACCTTTTCCGAATGGAAATATATTTACCAATCAGCATGCCTGTTCTGGTTGACAATCTATATCTAGCGCTCGCCTCTTTTGTTTACCAATAATTCAACTCTATAGCATACGGTTTCCGAAGTGGAAACCAGTCTGCAAGCGCGCCCGCTGAAGATTGATCTAGCTGGTTGGCACCAGTTTGAACGTTTGTAGGACGATTCAGAGTGGCCTTTAAATCCAATTCCATCCAAGTAATTCAAGATGAGCAAAGCACATCCTCCCGAACTGAAAAAGTAAGATTATTTTTGAGACACCTGGGCTTATTTCTACGCAGGCTGAAACAATTGATATTTTAGAGTTTTGACAACGCCGGTAGCTTTGTTGGCATGAGGCATCATGTGTGGAATGCTCTATGCTGTGTGTACTGTACATTGAATTTTCATGTACATGTAGGCCTAGGCCTACTTCAAAAATACGATAAATCTTTCATATTAAATTTTATGGTATTTTTATGTGGAGAAATAAACGAGATTGATTGGTCGAAGTACTTGTACCCCAGAACCATGGGGTCTGATGTCCGCCCCCGCTCCCACGAACCCCACAGAAAACGAGCTTTTTTCGCCAGCCTTTGCTTTATTATTAGTATATTACATGTATTAAAACTAGGCCTACGTGCCGTTTACACGGTTTAACAGGGCACAAACAGGGTTTTTATTCTGGCTGTGTACCCATAAAAATGCTGCTCCATTTCCCTAAAGAGTTCTGTGTAACCTAGCCCCACTAGGTGTGACACGGACTCTCACTCCCGATCCATCCTTAGCCACACATCCGTTACGCAATTTCGTGTCAGCGTATTGAACATTTCGGCGCACCCACTTATCATCGTTGGCGCAATTTCTTTTGCACACGAACATGATTCTTGACCTTTCCGCTTTCTAAAAACCATTTATTGAATGATTTCTTTCACGTTATTCAGGTATTTTCTAGTCTTTTTGCCTTTATCCATTCCATGTAACAGGCTCGCTAGATTGGGAGTGAGAGTCCGTGCCACAGTAGTGGGGCTATGTGTAACCTAGCTGACCTACCTTCGTACCGAGTGCCAAGAAAAAAATGGGCCAAAACCATGAGGGTCCCGTTTTCAAAAAAAAGTCGGAAATAGATCCTAGGCCTATTTCCCGATTAGTGCCCAAGAGTCGTGCGGTTCACATGTGTACTTGCGAACACGAGCTGCAATCAAATGGTTGACTATGGCTCACCACTTTCCACATAGGCCAGTGTCCACCGCATGCTTCGCCCACAACCATTTTTATCATGTCTGCCTCTATATGTATTCAACACTAGCATGACTAGCTCTGTGGTGCATATTTAGCATCATAATTCCCATACGCGGAAAGAGTTCAATACACGAACATCGCTGTTTTTACCTACAGTCGTACCTCTGCCACGTTGGCCATCAGAAAGCTACATGTATAACATGCCCGAAAGAAGTCAAATTTAGCAGAGAAAATATTGAAGCAATTTACCGCTCCCCCCAGAAAAAGCCTACTATTTCAGACAAGTCCCGTAGGGTTGCGCCTGGGTGTCAAGAGGTTTCCATGTATAGAACTCTTTCTCCAGAAAATGTTTGTAAAATGTGTTGTAAATATTCTGCTGGCCCATTGTAATAGCTGGGACATCACATGGCCATTTTAACCCTAACCGCCAAGCATATTGTTTGGCTTGCAGTACTCAGTACTACAAAATACTAAGTAGTAGCCTTAGACTGAAGGACCTAGCACTTCAGATTAATTCTTCTGGCTAGGTTACTTCCATTGTTACTCGTACAGAGAACAATAAAGCCATGTGTTCATAGTGCCACAGCACTGTATGGTACATTGTCTTTTCTATTGTATTTTATGGCTTCAGAGAACAATACGGTCATGTCCTCTTACAAGTGACAGCGCTGATTACTACATTTTACTACAAGTAGTAATTTGTAGTATTATGTAGGGTTAAGGCCAAGGTTTTGGTGTCGGGGGGGTCACACTGGATAAACCTGGAATTAAAAAAATACTTTTCATGAGAAGTAATATACATTGTCTTTGTTATTTGCAGGTTCATGGACAAGAAGTTATCGTGTAAGTGTTTCAACAAACAGTGTTTCCTTTGAATTATAACAAGATATTTGGAAGCTCAAAATGCTTTTTTTATGAAGTTTACTGAACACCAATTTCAGCAACGTACAGAAGGGAATTAAATCCCTTGACATACCAACCCTCAACAAATTACAAGTGATTTTTTTTCCATGTTCATCATATTCAGTAAAGCTGAACGGCAACCGTAGGGTGACAGGCACTCTGCGAGGTTTCGATCCCTTCATGAATCTTGTCATGGACGAGACTGTTGAAAATCTTCCCAGTGGGGAGAAATTTGACATTGGCATGGTGGTAAGTTTGCACCAATCACAATCAGATGCAGCTGCACTCTGTTGTCCATTGCCTTAACCACTTCCTGCCGGGTGGAGTTTGCGCATGCAGGACGCGTTGCTGGGCAGTTTTTCATGATTTTCCGTTTTCAAATTCTTCAAAAATTCATATATCTTCATTTACTGGAAACTTACACCCACATAAATGACTGTCTGGTGGCTACTCTAATATGAAAGGCAACGTCCATTGATGCCAATGGTACACTGTTTCAAAACAATGGCAAATTAACTCCGTTAATGCCAGCACTCTGTGCTGACAGTGTATGAAAATTTTTGGCAATTCCCAGCAGCTCAGTCTTTTGTTCCAAGTACAGTCTCTTGTTACAAGGCCCAGTTCCTTTGTGCCGATTTTGGTTACAACGTCTCCAGTACTGGGCTCCCCAGTGTAGCAGCAATGAATTTTTTTTGACCCACTTTTTCTGCAGCTTCACATTCTTTTTCAGTGTATGGAAATTATCTGGCCTCCGGTTTTGGTTAAAAGTGCAAGTTATCAAATATTAAAAATTAATCACTGCTTTCCTGGACAACTGATGGCACCGTTGCTGTAATGTCATCCAGGGAAGACATGGTTCAGTGTATAGGTTTTCTGTTCAAATTGTGAACCCCAAATCAACTCAAAACATATGAGAATGGGTTGCATGCTTGCTTATTTCTAAGAAACTTGAAGCTAGCAAAAACCATAAAAACTTCAGCAGTTTTTGTTCACAAACCAATGTATCATTGAGATTGTTTTCCTGGGGTGACATCACAGTTTATCTCACAAGTAAACCAAAAAGGCAACGAAATACCCTTTAAAACAGTAAAACAAAAACTGAAAATGAGGTTAACCGAGATGTAAAGGTGCATTTTAAAGGTTTGTATGAAAAATTTGGCATTGTAGGTACCCTTTAAGAAAATCCTGTGGACATCAATTTCAGTGCTACAATGCCTTACTGGGAGCATTTTGATCGAAGGAATAATACCTTGGGACAACATTAAGGGCTTATTTAGAAGTTTTGCACTGAACACTGCATGTGTTGAACACTTGACCCCTTTCAATTGCAACAACCCAATTCCTTCAGATATGAATTTGTATGTGCAGAATTGTAGAAATAGAGGTTAGAAGTGAAATGGGAAATGGAGATGTATTGGAAATGTTTTGATTTTTTTCTTTCAGGTAATCAGAGGAAACAGCATCATTCTTCTAGAGGTACTGGAGAGAATATAGCGTTTTGCCATGGGCAGCTCTGATCCTAAAAAGAACAATGTTTGTCCCCAGTCTTTAAAAACATCTGACTGGAAGGTGAAGCCTGGAACTTTGGGACAAGAGCAACAGTTACCGATGCCTTGAAACTGATTGATGCTCTTTGAAGATTGTTGGAGTCATTCAAATGTCGTTTGGAGGCTTTTATTCAGTGACTGCATCTTTAGTTACTTTAGCCACATGTACAGTACATGAACATTTCCTTGGTGCAGTGCACAAGGCCTGTTTGGTAATATGTCTACCATATGAACTCCATGTTGCAAGAATGGGGTAAACGAAATGGTCTCAGAAATCTATTTTAGAAAACGGAAACTAATGTATATCTGTAACTCTAACCTCTTCAGATCCTTTAGAATCCACATGAATGAATTTGAAGGATTTGGTAGATATTAGGGAGCTTTTGTCAGAAATGGAATTTGATACCCCATAAATATTGAACCACAAAGGATATAGTCTTTGATCTCCTGCACAGTGGAAGATATTGGTTGTGTGGAAAGTTTCCAGTGGAAAATTGTGAGTTTTTTATTTGCTATGAAGAATATTGACTCAAGTTCTCAACTACAAGTACTTTTGTTATGTCGTCATTGAGTTAGCCACAAACGGTATCTCTTTCAAGTTGACCCTTTAATACGTCTGTAGTAAATTTTTCATTGTAAATAATTTTTTTGAAGTGTCTGTCGCTGGCTTGCTTGTAATTCTGTAAAGTAGTACAAGTGTTGAAGTAGTGCCATACAATGATTTAGGTTGGGATGGGATGGGAGTGTGTGGAGCTGAATAAAAACAAGGCTCTGAACTTTTTATGACCAACAGAAATTGTCCATTCTACCTGCACTGTAATCCATGAACATGTATTTTGATTTTGAATACCTGGTAGTGTGCCATGGTCTATGTTCTCTTCAATGAGATGCTTCAAAGCTGAAGCATTTTATAAATCATATCCGTATTATGAACCTTTTAAGGGCAGGGTCTTGTGAGGGATGGTAGTAACCCGTGGTCCTTCCAGTTTTAAGATGCCCTTTTCTGATTTTAAATGGTCGAGACAATCATTCCAAATAAAAAGTTTGTTCCTTTTTTTATTTAGAACGCGGTAGTGCAATGTTACTTTATTTTTAAAGGATTTAGTTCTGAGGGGCTTGGTGTTCAAGACATCAGTATTAATCATTGGATTTGGACCTGTGGGGTTTTAAAATGGTTTTTAAGAATTCTTCAAGGTTCATTGAATTCTAGATTAAATTGCAGAATTTTGGGGCGTTTTGGTGTGGTTTTGGGTTAATGTTATGGGTACCCTGAAGTTACCAACAGTCTCATCTTCATTATGTCATTTAACGAAGGGGCCAAAATGGTTGTGATCATCCGAAAAAAAAAATCTTGTTTTGGTGTGGTGTTGGAGTGTGATCCTTATGCAGAAATGATTACGCGTTTTGATTTTTGACAGAAAAAACATGTAATTTATCATGGGTATGGTATAGGGGGCAGGGTCTCGGACGTCCACATGACCAAAAAATTGACACTTCAATGCAGAGGGCGCCATTTATATTAGCGGTTTGCAACACTAGCAATGCAAAGTTGTACCGATGCCCGGACTCCCACTATGGATTCCAAGTGGAAACTGAAGCTCGGCATCAGACTAAATGAATAGAGGCAGTTTTGGGGGATTGTCCATCCAGCGCGGTGATAAGGCGAACCTACACGGAACGGCTGCTAGAATTTGGGTAAATCAAGCCCAGATTTTACGGTGATGGACTCTTACGATGTCATAGCAAACCAGCCGGTTGTCATAGACAATGTAAGTAAAATAATGTTTATAAAGTGAGACATATGGAGAGGGTTATTTCATTGGGATATGGAGCACTCTACTAAAGTACTATCATGTACATGTAAGTAAGCCTTTGCCTATCCCAGTTTCCTAATTTAGAGACGGGCATGACGGGCCAGGGCCATTTACCTATCACTGGCAGGTTGGACCAAACATTCAGGTTGGGACATAACAGAAACATTTAACAGCACAGTCATGTGTAGCATTTTTTGTTTATCTTTAGTATTTATTATTATTTTTTTTGAGAAGTAGGTCTAACATGCTATTTTGGGCATAGTTGGGGCTTTTGTTGAATCATCATCTGATCATGCTGCAGGCTACATCATACATGAATTAATACTAGCCTATAGGCCTAACATTACTAGGCTCCTATTAATTAACATGAGGTCTAAATAAAGTGGGAAGCAGTTCCATATAGGCCTACATGTACATGTATGGACAACACTTGATGCCCCTGTGCATAAACCTATGAGACCTATTTGTTAAGTGTTTTCTTAGTGAATACTTTGGAATTTTCTTTGCTAAACTTCACTTTTTAGGACATTTTATCACTTTTTTGACACCTGTTGTAACATTTTAAGGGAAAATTAGTGTTATCTGTATATCACGTATGTGGCACTCTTTCTGTAAAATGTCCCAAAAAGACATATTTAGCAGAGAAAATATTTAGGTATTCACATTGAAAATACATCTTTTTCAGACCAGTCTCCTAGGGTTTGTGCATAGGGCGTCAAGTGGCGTCAATTTATGTGTACATTTCTAAGGATACTGTCATTTAATTAATGGTCATGATGGTGCCCAAATATTGTCACTGTTGTTCAGTTGCTGTGCCCCAACGATAGCATCTGTTCCAACTTTTACATGTACTTGTTGGGTGTGCCCCAACCCTGATGTTACTGTTAGGCTGGCCCAACCGTAGTCCTACTATTGTATAGTGTATATACTATAACATACCATCATATAATATCCTAAGTTCTGGCAAATGTCAGTACAGAATTAACTGTAGCATTGAGATTTTGTCCTGAAATGATGTCACATGTTTATAAATATAGGCTGAGTGGCTTTAGCATAAAAAAGAAAGACACCAAAGTGTCTGTAAACTGACAAAATGATAATCAAAAATCAGTTAAATGGGACATAAATGTGCATAATTTACTAGGACTGTAGTTGAAAAACAAAAGTGTTGCTCGGACCCTTGAAGACCCTTGCCATAGAATGCTTGAGTAGGGTTCTTTAATTGTACCCTTGTGCTCGTTGCATCTTTGCTGTCATTTCCAATCTCTTTTGATGTTTGAGTGTGAATCACAGCTTTCTAGCATATTATTTCAAATGACCGCACTCACTGAGCAGAACAAGGATATAGTCGGAGAAAAAAGTGTCAGTGGTCCAGATTCGGGATTCATAAGTTGTCTTGGATAATCCATAAGCCATGGAGCTGTAAAGTAATCCGAAGAGATGTCATACATGTAACTGTGGTCAGTGTGGTGGTGCTTCCTTCACAGGCACATTCTTAAGCTTGACACACTTGTGCAAAGTTTGGTGAGTCACAGCATTCTGTTGGTTGAAGAGGCATGCAACGTGCGTATTTTTCCTGTCAGCAAGTATTGTGCCCAGCAGTACCAGCATCTACATGTAATTCTGGTTGCCAAATTAAACTGTAGGCTTTGTAGCCCATTCCAGTATGGACATAAATGAGTTATGGAAATGAATATTGCCCTACTCTGTTCTCTGGTGTTAAAAAATGTCATGGGTCTTGTATTTAAAAGGAACCAAATTCTTTTAAAGGGAAACAACCAACAACTGTGCAGTGAAGATGAATCCATGTATCAGCACTCATGTATTTCAGAATGTGACAACTATTGGTTATCTTCTTTCCCTTCACAGGGCTCAGGTGTCATTAAAGCTGGCTTTGCTGGTGATCAGATTCCAAAATACCACTTTCCCAATTAGTAAGTTCTTCCTCCTTTTTTTTCTTGTTTTGTATTACATTATTTTCTCACCAAAACAAAAATTTAGTTCTTGGGAAGCTACATGTATATCAGGTGTCAAGTCAAAACCTGGTGTCTTCTGGAAGGAATGATGAAACATGTTTCTTTCAAGATGCAGTGGAAAGTTTTTGAGCTTAAGCTACTGGTAAGCTCCTTGCAAAATGTCTTCAGAATTAGAGTTAAGTTTATGCAAGAACCCAACAAGTGGCCAACACTTGTGAGTATGTGTTCAAACCAGATTGTGTGAAAGGCCCACTGGAACACAGCATTAATTAAGGTGCTTGTTCGTATGCACGTCACATTGCGTGCAGATGAAAACACATTTTTGTATCAGTGCAAACATTCTTGTTTGAAATGGCCCTCAAAACAAGGAAAGAATTTACTTTTGAACACTTTCTTTCACTTTATGCTTGGTGTCTGTTATGTATGAAGGCACTACATGTACATGTAAGTCACTTAGAACCTGTGCGTGCTGAGAGGTCAGTTACTAATGCATGCTTAACAACGTACAGTAGTTATGCACAGTACATCTGTCTATCCCCCCTCCTTCCCATCCGCTGCATTGTGTTAGAGGTATTTCTAGTAGTCACACAGCTCCATGTTTAGCTTCTGCACAGAATTCACAGACTAATGCGTTCTTCTCTACGACTTTAGTGTTGGAAGACCAAAGCATGTGCGGGTCATGGCTGGCGCATTAGAGGGCGATATATTCATTGGGCCAAAGGGGGAGGAGCATCGTGGTCTGCTGTCAATCAAGTACCCAATGGAGGTAAGAGGTCTTTGTGTGCTCTTTGGATGAACGGAATTTGCTGTCCAAAAGCAGAAGTGTGAGGGCAGTGCAAGGAAACGGACAAAGTTTCTTCTGATGATGATTGCCACTATTTGCAGAACTTATCAAAACGGACATAATGGGGACCAAACGTCCCTTTTTTTAGTCTGTGTCACATCTGACATATGATTTTGTAAGTTCAAAACACATTTTCTAATTTCCAAGAGTGATGAATTTATGCAAATTACCTGCCAAACAAATAGTTATAGTTTGAAATTAATTCTAGTGACATTTCCATGTCAAATAACAAAAGTTAGATGTAAGAGGGACACGAAAATTTCACACTTTTGGACCCCTAATTTCTGGAATTACCCTTATCAATTAACCATGACCTGAGCACAGACCTTGAAAATTTGGAGGATATTCCAGGAGGTTTTGAAGGATTTGACAGGATTGAAGAAGGTGCGGCCCAGGCACTGTTAGATTTACATGAATACATGGGCTTGATGCTGCATGTACATGTACACGTACTTGGAAGTTTAACTACAAAGAATGTGCGAATATTTTCTTGCAGAGAATTTTAAAGGATTTAAGAATGTTCTTAGCAGAATTGCTGAGGTAATCTGGGTTAACCCCCCATGCCTTTTTGTTGGAAGTTGTCACAAATGCATCAAAATCCAAGGCTTCAGTAAACCGGTGTGCTGTCTGAAACCCAGACTGCTTGTTGCCCAGGTGGAGTCATGATGGCTGGCTGTATGGTTCAGGATCAATTATTAAGCTTAAACGATAATGTCGGTGGATCAGGGGTTGTGAGGGTGAAATGATTACAAACGTACACGTTTCTGGGTCGAAAACTACACCACGTTCTCAGGAAAGACTTGCATGAGACATTTCTCTCTCACCTACGAGGAGGGAATCACTCTGTAGGGCACTGCCACGTGTTTGTGCCGGGAGGATGCTAAATACGAAATCCTGTACTATTGTAATTAAAAACTGTTGTCATTTGTGGGGGAAAAAAAATCCATGTTAAATTATGTGTGTCTACCCGTAGATAATGACAACACTTTGAGTCCTCCTTGTTGATTATATGTGCCAAAGAAAGACCATTTGGTAGTGTTTACAATTGGAGACTTTGAGACGCCGGTGGCAGCAGACATACATGTACCGGTCCTTTTTCAAGGTATTGCACATGCTCAGAACTATGCACGCATGCTCAAAACAACGTGCACATGCTCAGAACTGGTAAAAAGGACCAGTAGATTTGTTGCCACCAAGCGTTTCAAAGTCTCCCATTGGACTGTCAAGATTTTTCCCTTGATATAAGTACCGTAGATGGAACAGGACTGGTTTATCTGATTTGTCCAGAGTGTGTGTGCAGTGCATAGTATGCTATTGCATTATTCCAACCAGAACAAGCCTGGTTCGACATGTGGAACACATTTTTCCCCTAGACTGCGCACTGAAAGTACAGAATCAGATACTGCAGTGCGTTCAGCCATGGTTTTTATGAGCCACACTCGACATGTGGTGCAGTCAAGTAGAATGGCCTTTTTTATTCGTCCTGGTCAATAATTTCATGAATTTTCATGCATTTGAAATGCAGTCACTGTCAACTTCATTGCTTTGAATATCCCATGTTGATGCAGCCTTTGGTTCCAGTGTCACGGAAGTCGAAATATGGAAAGATGTTATGCTGGTAACTTCATTCTGACATGCATCGCAAAATAGACATTCTGTGCCAAAAGACTCATTTTGCTTGATTGCATCACACAGACCCCCCTTGCAGAATCGGAATTCTATAGTACACTGTGCATTCGATATTGCAAAAGCTATGGATTTTACCCTCAAGGTTGACAGAATTGGAGACACGACTTGATCATTTGCTAAAGGTTAATAGTACATGTATGCCACTGGAGAGGCATTCGTTTATTACATATACATGTGTGTGTGTCTGTGTGTCAGATCTGAGTTCATTGCCATGTACACACTGCAAGACTCAGTGTAGACCGCAGACATTCATCAAACCTGAATCTTTACACAACTGGGTTCATGCAAATGATGAAGTTTGTATTGATTTTACACTTGTAATCACTCTTTGTGTCCATAACAAAGCATTATTGCTAGGTGCATATTATATGCAGCACAGTGCAGAGAGTCTACACCGCACCTGTTGTAAACTAAATAAAAAGGATACGTGTTACAAATTGCAATCAATGTACATTTGTACACGTACATGTGCATTTATAATAATGAACAGTTGCTGGTATCATAAAAGTGTCAAGATCACTGAATCTGCATAGCTGATGTGCATTTTGTGCATGTGTGAACTTGTACGATATACATGTACTTTGTATTCTAGGAAATGAAAACTTTGCAAGGAGTCTGATTTTTTTTTATTCTAAGTGGTCTGGGTATATCATTTACATGTTCTAGTAGGACTTGACAAAGCATCTTTTCCCATTCATAATTTTGTATTTAAATTGTTTTCTTTTCAGCATGGTATTGTTAAAGACTGGAATGATATGGAGCGAATATGGCAGTATATTTATTCCAAAGATCAGCTGCAGACATTTTCTGAAGAGGTAAACCTCCTCCAAACATTTACTTAAATTGGTTGTACTTTCTTTTTGAAGTACTGAAGCTAAAACAATAAAGTTTTGACCAAGATTTTGTGGTACGCACCTTTACATCTGAGCGTCATGTGCACATGTTCATCTTGCATTTTAATTACATGTACAGGTAGCCATGATTTGGTGTTTAGAATATACGGTACCTCATCTGATCTTCTCCGGACTGCCTTGGGGGATTTAAATCCATTTTAGGAGAAAACTTTGCAACCCAGACTTCATCTCCAGTGCAGTGATATTGGTCTTGATATGACCAAGATCTAGCAGCCGGTCAAACATAAGGCTACCTGCCTTAACACAACATAAGGATGACAGATGATGATGTTTTGAAAAGCAAAGTGTCTGTTACTGGTCCTCTGAGATTTAGTCTTAAAATTGGAAGATGGGAGTTGGTTAATATCTCACACTAGTCCACACTAAATCATGGAATTCCAAAGACGTTCAAGCACCTACATGTATGCCCAATGTTTCCCTTTTCTTACAGCATCCTGTTCTACTAACAGAGGCTCCCCTCAACCCACGGAAGAATCGGGAGAAGGCAGCTGAGGTGTTCTTTGAGACATTCAATGTTCCGGCTCTCTTCATCTCAATGCAGGCTATTCTAAGTTTGTAAGGAAGAAGTCCACCTTTCCTCATCGGTTTCTACATTTTTCCCCCCCCCTTTTTTTTACACCGGCTTCTCTGTGCAAAGAGGAAATGCTCAATTTAACTCTCCAATATCACTTAGCATTTTGTACAAAATTCAATGTATGCAATCTACAAATGCGAAGACCAAGATTTTGTGCATAGCATATCCCATACATAGCAGAAGTAATTTCCTTAGGACATTCATGGATTGCAATGTTTTTCATTCTACTGTTAGACATTTAGATGGAGACCTTTGGGGGGGGGGGATTTTTTATGCTACATGCTTTTATGATGAGTATATGATCAAAGAAAGCATTTAAGTATGTGTGGCAAAAAGGGGATGTTTTCATGGGCTTACCCACATGCATATTAGGGTTCCCACCCCAAATTTGTCCTGGGACAATGAACTGCAAAACTGTTGCCTCAAAATTTCAGACAACTGTCAAAGATTCGCAAAGAGGTTTCAAAAGGTTAAATTTGTTTTCAGAAAAAATCCTGCAAAACACAAATGTGTGAAAAAGCTATTACCGTGCACTAAACACTTCCTGGTTGTGTTATTGATACGTGTAGATACGCAACAGGTCGGACAACGGGAGTAGTTCTGGACTCCGGTGACGGTGTGACGCACGCCGTGCCGATTTATGAGGGCTTTGCTCTCCCTCACTCCATCATGAGGATGGACATAGCCGGCCGGGATGTCACTCGCTACCTGCAGCTGCTTCTGAGGAAGGAGGGTTTCAATTTCCACACGTCAGCTGAGCTGGAAGTCGTCAAGATGATCAAAGAAGTAAGTGTCGCTCTCCTCTGTGGGACTTTTCGGGGGTGGGGGAAGGTTTCGTTTTTGAAAAAACATCAATGAGTGGGGAGCGGTGTAAAGTATTAATTCCCATGATATTTACATTTTCAGAATGAAAATTTGATTGTCTGGGTTTGCGTTGAAGATGTGTTTCTGTCTGAAAAATGAATCAAATTGTTTTGAGCAAATGTCTTTCTTCAGAAGGATGGGGAGATATTTAATCTGGTTAGTGTCAGACTTCATTGGTCACTGGTATTCATTGCTCACTGGTCCATGTTGGTTGCACCTTTTGAATGTGTCAACTCTGTCTCATTACATTGTATTTTCCGACAGCAGCAAGAAGTTGCAAGATGAAACTGTGCAAAATAATGGAGATTTTGTTAAAGTTTCGTTTTATACTTATGTCACTTATGAAGATTTAGTCAGCATTCTGGAATAGCGTACATTTTGGAAACATTTGCCTCATAGAGAGCTTCATCTTGAGCTATTTCTTCTTTATGCAGCGATCTTGTTTCCTGTCCATCAACCCACAAAAAGAAGAGACGACGGACACGGAGAAATCACTCTACATGTTGCCCGATGGAAGCACGCTAGAGGTGAGTCCAACCACAAAAGCAGTATACTAAAGCGTCTGTTTGTCTGGCCATTTGAGGGTTGTAGGAATGCAGCCCTGTCCACTGCTATTTTGGCATTGTATCCCAGATGCACCTTTTTAATGTGACTTCGCACTACGCCAACCCTCTTTATTGAACCTATTAGATTGCAATGTTACTCATGTAACCTGCATTTATGGTGTCATCGTTATTTGTTAACCTCTGTATAAACAAATACCTCGTCTAGTTTTGGTTGTTAAAGACAGAGTGAATATGTCAGTGAGACTGTCATAACACAGACACTGTGATGATAGCTGCAGGAGGGCGCTCTCCCACCAGTTCAAATGTGAGGCGGTCCACAACACTCTTTTTAGTGACCACCTCAGCCTATGTTGACCAACATTGACAACATTGAAAAACTCGTAGAAAAATGAAGTTCAAAATGTTTAAAAATTCTATGGAATTGTTCACTTTCGTATGGTTCTGACCGAAAAGCAAGGAAAGCCACAAAATGTAAAATTGGTTAGAGGAAATGGATGGAGAGTAAATGATCAACTAAAAGGTAGAGAATGTAGAAATTATTTGAGGTGCTGTCTGCACAGTTGGCTATGTGCATTTGCCATGGGCACTTTGATGTTGTCCTCATATTTTGGCCCCCTCATACTGATCAGCACCCCAGGGGAATGCTGAGTTGTGGAACAAATGCAGCAAAGTGACAAAGCTTGTGACTAAACACGTCATCCTGTTCCCAGGTTGGGCCAGCCAAGTTCCGGGCCCCTGAGCTCCTCTTCAGACCGGATCTGGTGGGTGAGGAATGCGAGGGGCTCCACGAGGTGCTGACATTTGCCATCCAGAAGTCCGACATGGACCTTCGGCGGACCCTTTTTGCCAACATTGTGCTGTCGGGAGGCTCCACGCTCTTCAGGGGTTTCGGGGATCGGCTGCTCAGTGAAGTGAAGAAGCTGGCACCAAAAGATGTGAAAATAAGAGTGAGTGTAGGATTATGGTATTACAGTATCATTAACTCTCCCAGATCCTAAAAAATCTGCCTGGAGATTTAAGAGGATTTTCTTTCACAGGATTGCGAAAGGTGGAGCCCTGCTTTTGTTACTTTACATGTAACTTGATGGCTCTTGAAAGTTAAAGTTCATCACAGTGCATTTTGGTGTCATAAGTTTTTCAATCCACAGTCTGAATTGAAACTAAAGGTGTTCCTTGGCACCTAGCAAATCAAAAAGAGAGGAAAAAAAGATGCTTGAATCTTGGGAAAAGCTGTAGATGATGTTGGAAGTTTGACGGCACATTAGGAGGCTCCTGTAATATTTACTGTGTTTTACTTTTGTAACTGAATAATAAGTTTGTATTTATGACTTTCTCCTTTCACTGAGAGCATTATTTGTTGCTTTCTTCCTCTCTAATCACAGATATCAGCCCCACAAGAAAGGTTATATTCAACATGGATTGGGTGAGTCTAGATTCAAATGTCAAGCAAGTTCCATTTTCAAGTATACACAAGGAAACTAGACCTTTTTAAAATGTCCAACCTGCACCTCTGCAATACCGAACCAGTCTGGCTGGTGGACTATCCAGCTCAATTGTAAGGATTTCCAAAATGATGTGAGTTAATGTGTCTAGGAACATGCCACTGTAATTCCCCTTAAGAGTGCTGATTTCCTCACTATGCTCTGGAAAATTGTTAGAATTAAGAGTGAGAAACAGTCACATCTATGTTTACGTTTGCGTCCCATTTTTACTCATTAAAACTTGATTCAGCTCAGCTGACTTATTTCATAGCCTTGCAAAATCAGCTGGCCACATGTCTTCTCTAACTGCAATCTTCCCCATTCTGTTTCTCATCTTCAGGGGTTCGATTTTGGCCTCGCTAGACACTTTCAAGAAGATGTGGGTGTCTAAAAAAGAATATGACGAGGATGGAGTACGGGCTGTCCATCGGAAGACATTCTAAAGCATCAGGCAATATTGGTCATGTAGTCTCGAGAACAACAGTAACCATGTCACTTGTACTAGTGGAAATTCTTCTTAAGTTGCAGCTTTCTACTTTTGTTTGTAAGCCACAGAAACTGGGGATAGGGATGGAAATTGTTAAACTACAATAAATTTGTCAAAATTGCTGATTGCAGAATTTTTTATCCGGATTTTTCTGATTTCAGGAGTTTTCAAACGATCTCTTTCAAAATCATGAAGGTGTTTTTCCCATATAAAAGTTGGTACGTTAAGGCAAACACAAATGTGTGCCATGTGTATTTCCCACGGATGAATGCAGAACCAATTTTTTTTTTCCCGGGCGTCATTTTTGTGTGTGTACCCTTTGTTATGGTCTTTTTTTGAGGGGTGAGGCTAAATATGGGACTTTGTAACACGCTTTGGGAGAAAAAAAAAATGAAATGGAAAAAAGAAAAATGTGCTCGCATTATCGTTTGTAAAAGTGAAAGCAATTTGCCTCTTTTTGTGGGGTGGGGGTATATTGACTCCCCCATTTCCACCAGTGGTATTTCCAAGTTGTGTGCTGAGAATTTAGTCATGTACAAAGGGTACTTAAACATGTTTTAAGGAGTTGTGCCTCAACGTGAAAGTTCCTTGGATTTTAATAATACATTACCATTAAAAAAGTTACAGCTTCTTTTGGTTACTGTCATGGAGTGTCTTAGAAATGGAACATTCTGGTTCCGAGTAGAAAGCTTGTGGTTAAACCCTAAACTTGAATCTATTCTTCAGGGAACAACTCGAACGTTGGAAACGTTCACATTCTGTTTGGCCATTTGCATCGAAACACCTGCATTCCATTGGAGTGTTCCCGTGCTTTTTTGCATAGACTGTTCTGAAGCAGCGTTCCAACAGGAATGCTGTGTTCCCTGTGGAATGGCCACCCGTTCCAGATTGAAAGCATGGCATTCCAAAGGCAATGTTTCGACCGTTCTGGATTATGAGATGTTCGCTTAGTGACATTGAGCAGTTTTCCCAGGCAGAATGGTCTGACAGAAAATACGTTCTGGGTAGAATTTGATTTCTTGGGGGAGAACTTTGGAAAGCTTGTTTTGCATTTTACTTGCCAGTTTACATATTTTGAGAAGGATGTATATTTCCTAATACAAAGATATTAGGAGTGGTGATGAAATCCATGAAGTTGTGAACATTCTGTTCGGAAAATTTGTAGTCATTTGCCAAGAAACCAATTCTGTTTACAAAGAAACTTACTTTTCTAGATCCTTCCAAATGCAGCATGAAGCTTTGGAAGAATTTTAAGGGCAAGGAAGATGGATCCACATCATTTCATATCATAAGGGACTTGATGTCCCTTGAAGATTGAAATATAATTGGATCCTTCCATAGAGCTATATCAAATAGACCTTTTGCCATGAAATGTGCAAATTAGACCGGTGCATGCATGCTACTACTGCTGGTTGGCAAGCACGTCTGTCAACACTATCGGCAGTGTAGGAGAAATGCTACAACCATAAACCTGGCGCATTGAGGGTCAATCAGCCTTCGTCTGATACCTCGGCACGCTTCTCTCAAAACTAAAGAAAGTTTCCATTTTCTCAAGGTTGGAAAGTAACAATTCCTTGTCTTTAAGTGTGGCACTCATGTCAGACTAGTACAGAAATGACGTTATGTGCTCATAGTTGCCAGCGCATGGAGATTTGTATTGTTACGTCATAGATTCAAGCAACTTTGCCTACCAGCAGTAAATGCACATGAGCCTGCCTTATTTGCATATTTAACGGGAAAGGTCCATTACAAGTGCTAACTTGTCGGTCCCCACACAGAAAAGTTTAAATGCCTCCTGAGTGCAGACAGTTTGAATTCATGTGCATATTTGTAGCACATAATGTGATACGATGGAAGGAATTCCACAAGATGTAGTGAAATGAAATGCACGCAAGTACAACATACACAAATAATGTTGTAGTGTATAATGTATTAGAAAGCCTTTGCAAAGTTCATCTGCAGCACAGAATGCATACATGTGCATTGTTTACACACAGCAAAATGAATCGCTCATTTACCAATTGTGTATTGAGGTTTTTGGTGCATCAGCTTTGTTGACTCATTTTTTTTAAGGATGTAGACGCAGATGTGCAAATAGTTGTACAAACTTTTGAGTTTTTCCCATAGGTTTTGTGCACAAACATGGATGCGCCCAGCAGGCTTTACTTTGCAAAGCGTGTTAGCACTCTGGTAATGTAATACAGCTCTGCGGTTGCTTCAGGGCTCTTTGCAAAATGCTGTGAGACTTCAGAGTAATTTCTTCAGTTGCAACCTATATTGAGATTCTTAGGTTTTACATTATTTGTTATTACATTCACGTGAGATGCCGTACTTGGTGGCATACATGTATTTGCATTCCCATTCATTTTTTTTTACATTTACAAATTATTTGTTTTGCTTTTTCATCATTTAAGAAATTTAGCACTAGTTAAGAAATGCTTACAAAGAAAAAAAACCCCAAAACTCATAATTTTGTCAAAATTTCTTCCTTTTATAATCGTTGGCGAGCATAAATATGAGTAGGTCTGCAGAATTGGAGACAGATTTAGGGTTGAAATTTTAGTGTGGTCATAGAGAAAAAGTGTATCGTAGAACTGTAGCAACAGAAAGCGTGGTTCAACTATGTAACTGTAAATATTGGTCAGTGTGTAGTTATCATAGAAGCTTGCGGCAGAATTTTGGAATTCCAAATTAATTTATGATGTATCTCAACAATACGGTTGAGGATTTCAGTTAGAGCCAAGCCATAAAGCAATGTGTTTGGGGTGGCATACAGGGGACCCCTTCATGTTAAAACATGGGTTTTGTTGCTGAGCAGGAGGGACCCTCTTTCTTTTCTGGTGTTTTCCTAAATGCTAAGCTGGTGTTGTACTTCTCCGTATTTGGCATAAGGGTTGACTTATGCTCTAACCCTCACCCTCCCAGAAATGAGATTATAGGATTCTTGTGATCTTGTGAGCTATCCAATTGAAATGATTCACAATACATGTAGTGTTTCCAAAATGCTTACCTCCCCCCCCAAAGTTTTTTTCTGACTTGTGAGTCAAAGTTGGTAAACAACATGTTACCAGCTACTGTGCTTTGGAGATTAAGTGCATTGTGTAAAAAGATCGATGCAGGTCGATTTGAAGCAGGTTTAGAATTATCATTGTTTCCCCCATGTAGTGACAGTAAATGGGAAGTTGCAAGATTTGGTTGTGAAAGCGTAGACAAGGTACGATGATTTAATTGTGGCACAGAGACAACTTTTTCCCACAGTGCTGAGCACACAATTTGATTTGGGCCCCCCTAGCAACAGTGTAGCTGTAAAGTGAAATGTCCAATATTCTCAACTCGTCTGTTCTTAAGCCATGAGCTTTTCAAGGGAACTAGGCGGACCAAGACAAACATGTACCTCGGGCTTTGTTCATCCTCAGTTCCCCGTGATTGGTCTCTTTTTTTTTTTCTTTACTGGTATGTAGCTTATGATGCATTGTGGGGAAAAAAAACAGTTCCCTTGGAATTTCTCAAACAGCAGCTCATGAAGAAAGAATGTAATCATACAGTTGTTAAAACTTAGAAATGCAAAAAACTACTGTCGAGCGCCGTTTCTCAAGCAGTTAAATTTACTCTTTCATCTACTTTTTTTTTCAACCCAGTGGTTTTCATTTTAAAAAAAAGGTCAAAATTCTGTTCCAAGACAAACTTTGGGTTATGTAAATCTGTATGTAGTTAAACTCTTGGAAGAACAATATAACTGCAAAGTATCCACGACCAGTTTGCTTTATTTGACCCTAGCAATTCCATTGTCAAGACATCGGTCAATATTAAAAGTGTTCTTAATAAACCTGTAATGCATGCACATGTAATATCTCTGTACAGTATTATGTGCAAGAAATAATAAATGACGCTCATTTGCTCTTTCAGGGTAAAAGTTTTGAATTTGTTTCATTTTATACATTAAAAAGTATTCACTTCACTTTGCTCCACGGATAAATACATCAGGGGAGTCAGGTAGGCAAAGTGGTTCTTTCCTCGCTTTCCACATCTGTGGGACAGGGTTTCCAATCCTGGCCTGCTCCACAATGTGGATTGGGTTTTCAGTCCCTTCCTGATTCTGAAGGTTTTATTCAGAATATTCCTACTTTTCATTGTCTCTTTACAGGTTTCTTCAGGCTTACAAGCTGCAGTGCCTAGGGCACTTCTGAGGAATCCTGAATTTGTAAAGTCTGTCTGTTACCAGAAACTTTTTTCCTTAATTCTAAAAGAAATTCTTCAAGGAATACCCCCCTTTTGTGAATTAAATTTGAATAAAACCTGGTACTGGAGTTCTTTAAATTCAAGGGAACGTAATTTGAATTCTCCATACTAAATATGCTGTTGCTATGCCTCATGATTCAGGGCAAGCTTTACATAGTTACACCTTACACCAATAATCTGTTTTTAGTGGATAAGAAGGGCACAAAGGAACCAGTCCATTCCAGAGATTGTGGTCACTATGTAAAAGCTTGCCCCCAATCACGAGGTGTGGTCGCTATGTAAACGCTTGCCCCCAATCACGAGGTTTACATGTAGCGGTATCTTTAATTTAGGGAATTTGAATTGGTCATAATGTGCAATCAGATAACTCAGTGTACCAAATTTTATTCAACTGTAACTCACAAAAGGTTTATTCTCACATGAAACCAAACTCAATTGAAATGCAGAATAAGGAAGTTAATGTAAATATTGTGTACATATATCAATAATTATGTGAACATGCACTCTGCATACACATCAGGAAATGTATGGACTGGTGCACTTGTGATTGCATTAGTTATTAAATTGATAATGTCTATTGCAAATTTGCCTGAGACATGATAAAAAAGCATCCAAGGACAATTTTGAACCATTTTGAATAGAAATTTCACAGTATCATGTATACCTTTTCTAAATTATAAACCAAATGAAAGAAATACCCAAGGATTATGAAAACAAAAACCCAATGAAATACACCTAAATGAAATACAAAGTGATTGCAATAATTTTTCTAATAGTGAACTGAGTATGACTAAAAATGACCCTTTTCTTCCATGTACAGTGTGCATGAATGACATAAATAGGTCCAAAAAGACACCTAAGATGAGATACAGTACTATGGGCTTTCTCATCCAAAACCCCAAAGTAACTACAACATATACAGATATATTTGGCAACTCGTATTCTTGTCGCGATTATTATTATTTACAGTACATGAGGGCAACATGGAACATGTACAAGGTACATGTAGAGTATAATTTTTTAAACAGTGTCCCTAAAAAATATGGGGTGGCCCAAAGCTTTAGTATGGGGTTACGACCCACTTAAAGACCCCCACTCTGTTTTGAGTTCAGGTCTACTGCATTTCTGGGCATCTCGGAGGTAAATGCTTTTCTTTAAAAAGGTAACTTTTGAAATTCACAGACACTTATTTCACCAAGATGTCATGAAGGGTGACACTTTCTAGAATTTTACTTTTACACCCTGAATTTTAAACTTGGTGGCCAGGTTTTAAAAGCCTGGTGGCTACTTTAAAACATAGTGGGAGACAAGCAAAACTCTGTAGGCTGCAAGGCTACTTCTGGAGAACACCGACTGTATTTTTCACATAGGGGACAGAAATTTCATAGGATGAGTTGCTCTTAGAAAATGGCCATTCTAATTTCATCAAAACTGTAGATGGACTGAGAACATGTACTTTTATAATCCTAGGAAAGAATCTTATCTCCATGAAACACTTTATCTAGTATTTTTCTGACATCATGAGCACCACCAGTGCAGACCATCCGGTGAAAGGATGTGACCCCTGACCTTTGCCAGTGCTGTCGTTGTAGTTTTCCCATATGTAACCAGATCTTTCATACTCCTTGATGATGTTACTGACAAGGTTTTGTCTCAGTTGTGTGTACAGATCTCTAGCCATGTCTTGATAGGGACCAGAGGTGCTAGCGTAATGGTACAGGGAACGTACAGCAAGGAAATTCATGTTTATCCATATGGCCCCACGCCAATACGGAGGATCGTGCTCGGTGTTGTATTTCATGTAAATGGGGTCCGATTTTGAAAGCGAGCGCAGACCATATTTTGTCCACAACAGTTTGGGGTCTTTCAGGTCAGTCAAGATTTTTCCCAATTTGTTGGACTCTGGCTCCAGAATCTGAAGCAGGAAGGGAAAGAGGCTGATGTAACCGAAGGCATTCACGTATTGCTCTTTAGGCTGATGCTGATCTTTGATGACACGTACCATTGGGAGCTTGGGAGGGGGTTGGGGTCGCCTTTGACCAGGCTTGGGAGTGGGAGGGGGCGGAAGCTGAGGGCGTTTCAACATGATGGCAGACGTGTGGCTTCCGTAATCACTGTACATCTTGCCCTTCGGTGACCAGTGCAGCTTGTCTAGCAACTGGTTGTCACTGAGGAGCTGATAGGTGGCCATGTAGTCATTGGAAGGGACGTTGATTGCGTGGGCAATATCCACCATGACACCAGAGGCAAGGGCCATCCAGCAACGCAAGTCAATGTGGAATTCAGAGTGAGTCGGGTGCGAGGCCCTGGGATAGTCGTCCAGTCCTGATGTCAATGTCTTGGGGTTCAGCTCTTTATCAGTCACGGCATCTCGGCCCCTCCATCGATATGTTGACGACCTTGGACCTGTCTGAGTGCTGTTGAACCAGTGGTACCAAGCCTCAAGCCGAGGAAACACGTGCTGCAAGTACTCTAAGAAGTCACCGTTTTTGCCCAAAGTCGTATCCCTCAGGATGGACTGAAGGGGCAGGAACAATGTCGGTGGGTTAGCATTTTCATTGTTCTGGATGACAAACTCCTGCGGGACTTTGCTGCGTGCTTCACTACCGAGGATCTGCTCGCGGGGAATCCAGCCCTCCATGTTCATCAGGTCCAACCAGTGGCCAATTATCTCCTTACTCAACGCTGGGTCCCACTTGCTGATGAGGAGGTTGTGAAAACCTTCATCCCAGAGGAAGCCACGGGGAAAAAATGAGCGAGAAGGCACTGCCGTCAAAAGCGGGGCATTCCAGTACGGAACTGGTTCCGGGGTGTGCTTGGACCTGACGATACTCTGGCCATAGAAGTAACCGATCCCACCAAGCATATTACTAAGGGCTGCTTTGGCAAAGGTTATCTCCTTTTTCTTGTATCCTTTCACTTCTAGTCCAAACTTGTCCTCAAATGTTTGGCTGAATGCATCTTTGTACTTTTTCAGCTGCTCTGTGAAAACTTTCCCAGAGAGTGGAGCTTGACGTTGGGTGTGGCTCCCCGACTCAAAAATGACCTCCATTTCAAACGGGAGCGACAGCGTAACTTGGTGGGCCACGAAATTTGGCTGGTAGTCCGTGATCCCCCTCAGCGCCAGGATATTCCCAGCAAGGCCCGCCACAAACCTGGTGCCCCCGTAGGGAAAGCGTTTCAGACTCTGCATTACCACTTCCCTGCTGAGGTGAATGCTGGGACTGTAGGTGCTGACGTAGTGGTAGGCCGTGGTGTTGGATGCCGGAGGGAACCTGATGGAGAAGCTGCCCAGCTCCTTGGTGTTGCCGCGGATTTGCAGGAGCTGGTTCCCTTTGACCACCGGCTGGAGAAGACCGTTATCCTGATCCAGGCCCGCATAGAATACAATACTTGCAATGGTCTTGTTGGCAGATTTAGTCTGTGAAGTAAACCATACAGATTGTACAGCGTAAATGAAATATATATTTTGGTAATACTGAGAAGTTCGGAAAATACCTCAAAATCTACCTTTTTTCTCATCATGAAAAAAGGCAGGGGAAAAAAGCCAGATGATCCAATAGCTCATCCCCCCCGCCCAAAGGTAGAGGGATTCTCCTACCCCTCCTGGGATTTACACTACTGACTTTGTCACTTTTTTTTAACAGCCCACTACCTTTTTGAATGTATTTTAGCCTTGGGGTGGCCTCAGTAAAAAGGAAAATGAATACTGAACCAGCATACCCTGGGCTTGCCACTAATGCGTGCTGTCCAGTCCCCACCGTGTTTCCCACCTGGCTGTTTCACAAACTCAGTCTTTAAGGTGAGATTCTTGTCCACCAACTCCTGAACGCCGAAGTTGACTCCATCATGCTCCAACCATCCATATCTGAGCCAGACATGAGTGATATAAAAAAATACCGCAAATATGGGGATTACTGCCATTAATGAATGGAAATTATGGTCGAGTGCACGGTGACTGATGGTACTTCTCTCGTCAATGCAATTGAACCCAAGGACAAAGTTACGTTGTCTTTTTACATTATCTTCCACTGCTGGTTTTCTCTTCTGCATGGGCTTAATGTCTTTGCTTATACATCTTACTGTGACAATTTTGTGTTTTGTTTGGTGTATGATTACGTTGTATAATTTGACCAGCTTGTTAATACACAGGCCTTGACTTCTGTGAACAGCCCTCCTGTTATTGTTCTTTCTTATTTCCCACTTAACCTTAATTCTATTATTTATCTTAAATACATTATTCATAAATACCTCAGACAGTCTCCCTATTCAACAATGTGCAACTTAACCATGCATTAACATTTGATAACGCCCGCTGAGAAGTGATAATGCCCCCTGCGAAAATCATGCACTGGCGCCTGGATACGGAACAATTTAATCGATTTTGATTGGTCAAGAGTCTGTGTGCACACAGCTTGCCACAAACATACCAAGTCCATATAAGGAGATTCTATTGGACAACTATAAAATAAAATTGATGGGGGTGTTTGGGAAAACGAAAGTAAAATTCCACAACAAAATCATGGGAATTGTGTCATATATTGACTTCTTTTGATTCTCTGACTAAAGAAAAAAGATATTCATGAATGGGAATAAATTTGTGCTTGGCCGGTCTTATACATGTGTTTAAGACAGGCTCAGGAGAATGGACATGACTAATGCCCAGGCCGCAGGTGAGGGCATAATAAGTGTTCAGTCTCTTGAGCCTGCCAAGCATACTAATGGCATTATATAGGACTGATTCCCCCACCTTGCCAGTTGATCTCCTTGTTCGCATGTATGACGGACGGGTAACTGTCTCTCTTTGCCAAACTGAGTGAACCACATCAAGCCAGTGACCAGGGAATGCGGGCTCCTTGTTTTTAGACCTGTAATTGTTACAAAAAATAACTAAAATAAAATTAAAATGATGAAAAAGGCAGATACCAGAATTTAAATCATGAACTAATACACAGATGTGTAGAGGTATCATTGCACAGCATTTGAATATTACTTTGAATATCACTCTCAATATGTAAAAGTCCAAAGAAGTTTTTTCTACATGTCGGATCCTGCTGTTTTTACAAACCTTCAAGTTCTGGAAGTAGTCCTGCTGCATTTACTTGTTATCAGACAATGTCAGAGTCATAGTGTAATCAGTCATTTTCTCATTTCATTGATGGATCGTCATCACCATAATCACCACAGCTGAGAAATTTTTTTTGGTGTCTTCTTCTTTTCCATGTGGTGCACCAACTTCATAAACTTGAAGACTCGGGCACAGGGGGGTGTGTTCAGAAACATGCCGGTTGTGGAAAATGAGAAAATGCACAGGGAAGCATTGCCGCTGCACATCTTGTAACGCTAGAGTACAGGTAGGCCCTACTGACACTGTTGTCAGTGTGTTGTCATAGTAATATAAAATGTATACATTTTACATTATTTAAGAAATCTGACCATGTTTCCATGGCTCTACAGGGAATTTCAATTGTAATTTACAATTAAGTATTGTTTCAAGCTACTTGGACTATTTTGTTTATAATTTTTTTCCAGTGCTTGCTCTGGGGAATCAAACTCTTTCCCCCACTACTATGCCACTTCTTATCGTAATTGCATAATTTCTCACAAATAAGGAAAAATAAATGATTTCCGTTGCCCCGTTTTTAGTTACCTTTTTAAATTTTAGGCTAATTAAAAAAAAATCATAATTCTAATGATAGCAACATTCGGGGCATCATCTGGTCTCTGAGAGAAAAAGATGAAGGTCCTTGCTCTGTGGAGAGAAAAACATCAATGAAATTTGTTAAAAATTAAAAAAACTACATCACCAGCGCCTACCAAAATAAACTCCAGGGCGGTAGGTCCCCCAAAACCTCTCCGGTGATTTTGCGGCGCTGCTTGCATCTTCCTCGATCACGAGCGGTGCATCAAGCCTCGTGGTCACCCGCTTTGCCAAGACATCTTTGTACCACAGGTAACCGATAGGGAGGCAACTGAGCACGACGAGAAATGCGAAGGTCTTCAAGCCAACCGGAACAGTTCTCTTAGCTGCCGGGTTACTCCTTTCGCCACGTGTACCGTTTTGAACACTGTCGTCAGCATCACTGCGATCGCCGTTGCCATTTTTGCTGCTTGTGCCGTTGTCCGTTGAGTTGTTCCGTTTTGACTTAGAGCCCCTCTGTTTCAATGAAGTCTTTGCCATATCGTCAATTGGCTGGAGAGGCGCTTGACAGACACCTTCGCCGTCTATTATGGCTCCTTGCTCCAGTCGATCGCCACCATCCTCCTTATCAACAAGAGCCGCCAGCTCAGCTCCAGCGCTCGCACCGGCGACAAATTCATCGTCGTGCGGTTGTACGACGGTGAGAGCTGACCTCCTCATGTCACTTTCACCGGCCCTGACGTCATTGTTTACCCCCTTATCCTCTCGGTTTGATTGGATGGCCTCAACCGGAGGAGAGCTCTCATTCCCATTCACCAAATCCGCCATGATTTTCATGCAAAACACTTGAGCGAAATGTACTGCAATGTGTATTTCTGAACTATGGACGGCGGTAAATACAAAATACCCCCAGTTTTAGAAAGATAAATATGTAGTGTTTTAAACAATGAAAAATTGACCTATTGATACGAAACTCTTCTATTTTATGCTTAATTTAATTTGGGATGACCTCGTATCAAATTTTGTGGGGAAATATTGATGGGAAAATTACTGAACGATACATTTTATTGGTAAAATACGTTTCGTTGAAGACATCGTATTTTTTTTTTAAATAACCGGCGGAAAGCTATAGAGGGCGCCCATCCCGGTTTTGCTCTGGAAAAAATTGGTGGAATCGACAGCACGGCATGTGCGTAATACTTCTGGGATTTTTTTTATCATAGACCTGGAGGAGAAAAAACACCTCCAGGTCTATGTTTTTATTTAGGACCGTTTTTGTCATCAATCAAACGGGTAAGCAAATGTAAAAGCTAAAGCGTGAAATAACACATTTAGTGTTTACTTAACTCTAGTACCACGTAGTTTTGTTGCAATGCTGTCCAGGACAACTTGTTTTATTTCCTTTCAGCCAGGGGCATGAGCAGAAAACAAAAAGGAAGTATAGTGAGAAATGTGATAAATCCAAAATTTTTGCAACAGCACATACTTAAATAACATCTGCTTACAAGACAGTCATTTAAGTCTGAAACCGATTTAAAACTAAAAATGAGAAGGAAAGAAGTAGGTCTATCTGTGTTAGTTACTCAGCATCACTTGTACATTTTAATTTGAGTCACTTGGGACTTTCCTGGATTCGTTTCAGCCTTGGTCTGCACTGCGCAGCATCTAATAGACCCTGTAGATCATGGCTGAGGGTGGTCGAGAGGCAGACCTAACTGGACCTGAGTTCATGTCTGTGCATGGGAGGTGTACCTTCAGTAGACCAATCAGAGGAGGCTTCTCTCAATATTTGGAAGGTTCCACTACAGCACGGCATCAAGAAATTTGTGAAGAAAATGCAGTTATTGAGGCTTCTGACAAAAGTGATAATTATTAACAAGTTATAATTATAAACAAGTGGTTAAAGATATTTGTGTTAATAGCACAGTTAGGAAAAAGAGAAAGAAACAAGAAACATTGGGTCGTAAGATATACTCAAAAGCAGTTTTTTAGTTCCATAGCAATGGATTCATGTAAAGCCCCTCATATATTGCACAATGCATCAACATATTACTTCCTCACCACCTGTCTGAAGATGGAATGATAAACACGCAGACCTCTATCGTTAGAGTCAAGCAGTTTCTTTACAACTTGAAGCATTCTGCAACTTTGGTAGCACACAGTTTGAATACTACCTTAGCGTATGTCTGGTGGTGTAGAGGATGGGTTGACATGGCAAAGAAAGCCTTGTTGGACATCAGTGACCACATTCCGTCCACTAGTGACGTGAGACTGGGGTCAAACCCTCATAAAAATGTTAGATCTCATACTATGTTGGACCGACAAAAAACTTTGTGTCACAATGAGATTGGCAGAATGCTGTCTCAGTTTAATGAGCCAGATGCAGCCGTACAGTTTTATCGGCAGGCAGTTGAGGTTATTATAATGAGGGTTCCTCGGTGGCTTGTGACAGGCTTGTCTTACAGCTTATGACCAGGGCCTTATGGATCAGTCTCATGCCAATGAGGCTGCTGCTTTCTGGGAACTGGTGACAGGCGACCCTCATTGTAAGGAGGGTCTGGTCCCGGCGTCTGTGGAATCATTCATGCGTTGTCATGCAGGTTTCTCTGTGGTCAAACCTGAGACTTCCTATAATGGCGCCGTAAAGAAAGAGTCATGGTTGTGGGAAGCTAACTCTCGGATTGCAAAAGTGGTCAGCAAGGCTCCTCAGGTATATCTTCATAAGTCTTTGATTCTTTCCATGCGGGGAGAAAAGGAATTGGCCTAGAAAGCATATCAAAGTTACGTGGAACAGTACGTTCAGAAGACAGATATCTACATACACGAAGACGCAGGCCCAGTACCGGGTAGCGTGGTTTGTTCAGGCTCAAGAACGTTCCAGAACCAGCCTTGGTGGGTACTTTTAAAATGGATTGCCACCAATTCAAATTTAGCTGATTTTAGGGTTTATAAATCCATTCAAATAATGCCACTTGTTTAGCGTAGAATTTTGAGGCATGAATGCTACCTTGATTTCACAGAGAAAATGTCTGCGAAGTTCAGGGGCGTCCGCTCAACCTTTATCTGACACATGATGGTATCTGAGCGGCGCCCTCATGCACAATCTTCCATCTCTGAAAACCGTCCTACTAGATCCCTACACAGGGAGCATTTGTGTGCCAGATCAACATCGTCAGCATGAAGTGCATGAGTGGGGCAAAAAAGAATTCTGTGCGCCTGTTCAGATTTCGGTCTCAATTATTGCATTCCAATCCTATTATGTTGTTCCACAATGCTGAAAAAGAAACAATGGTTACATTAATTAGTGTTACAAGTAATGTAAAATTTAGGCAGGAATTAATATCTTTCAATATTGGAGGTGGTGTATGTCCAAGGGTTGCCAACGTTGCATCTGCTTTGATTTACTCAAGTAACAGTCAAGGTTAACTCAAGGCAGGTAGCGGTGTAGGCAAGACGCAAAAACATCCTGCAGCAAGTTAAAGACCTGAACCCAAGTATTGACAGAGAGGTTGTGCAAGATGCTGCTGATCTTCTTGATAACTGTTATAAGAGGGGGCTTCAAATCAACTATACTCTCGTGAAAGAAGTATTGGATGGTCGAAACAAAGCCCTCATTCAGATTGGTAAAAGAGGAAAGAGGAATGGAGTCCCATTTTCGAAGTCTAAAGGTGAAAGATGGTCAGAAAATGAAATGAAATTACAATTCAGATACTATGCCTCTCAATCAGGCTCTACAACTTCAAAGAGTTTTGTCCGTGGGCAAGTCAACTGTTGTGCTGTGCTTGTACACAGCCGAAAGTCCGCCAAAGAATGAATGCGAATGCCAGTTACAGCAGGACACCCTTGTTTTCTTGGACTGCAGCAGTCCAAAAGCCTTTAGGGATCCAGTGATACGTTTCCCTGACATATCCTATTTAGAGTGGGTGTTGCCAGACTAGGAGAATTGCTGGAAGTCCAGGTCCTTTCCGCAGAACGTCTTTTTTTTTTTCGTTTATGCTGATAACAATTGTTCTCAAGTTGAAGGAGCATCAAAACAGAAGTCTAATAAAGCGCTGGTCGTATTTGACGAATATGGACATATCGTTTAGCGAGAAGAGGTTCGTCAATGTCGAAAAAATCACTAGCGGAAACGGACGTCTTTGAAGGTATTAGATGCCAAGAACTTGCAAAAGCATTCTGGGGCAACTGAAGATGTAGACTTTGTAGTTGAGCAAAATATGGTGTTTGTTTCTCAATCGTCCACTGTTGTTGTCTTAGACCCCATTACCTTACAACCTCTTCCTGTTTAGAGACCGACCCAGGAAGTAAGCAACGACGGTGACTTGACCGAGGGCGAAGGTCAGTCTCCTAGCCACCAATAATTTTGCAAAGCCGTCGTCTTGGGACTCTAACCTGCGAATTCCTTTCACAAGAGTGATCTTGGGAGTTGCAAATCATGTTTTAATCCTGGAGAAGGAACGATTTGCTGAGAGGGGCAGAGATCACTCACCAACTGAGCAAGATTTGTCTCCGATCGAAGCAGATGTTGACACTTTAGTGCCTGGGGTACCGACAGAAGCACTGTTCATCAACCAGAGGGTGGACTTCATTGATACAGCATCCCTCTTTGAACGGAGTGACCTGTTTTATCGTGAAAATATGTACTGGTTTGATATGACTGGTGTCATCCAAGGCATCCATCTGATGGTTGGAAGAGGCCCACACAGTTTCGCAACCATTCCGCTGTACACAGCGGACAGAGAAAAATCGGGGGGAATGGATGCTCAAGACATGAAAATGAGAAGGGAGAGATGTTGGCATTTGTTCTTTGCAGATGGTTTGGGGGCGCTCTTTTGTACTCGCTTAGATGTTGATCATCCAATTTTGCTTTAGAGCAGCTCTTTGTATTGGGATATGTCTAGAGGTTCATGTGTACATTGTGTATCTTTGAGTTGTGTTGTTAAGATTGTCACTGCAGCACATTCATAACTAATAGTTAATACTTAACTTATACTTGACATCGCATGGCCACTAAATGACCGTGGCGGTTGGGGCCAGGTCCACCAGATGGCGTGGATGTACCTTAAGGTTAAATTGCGTCAACGAAAACCTCAGTTACCTCAACTTGCCTCAGTCTGAGTGTAGTTGACGATTTGGGAAAAGTATGGAGATGGAAAACGAAAAGAAAAGAAAAATGTAAAAAAAAACCAAAAAAACAGATACCGCACCTACACAGCTGAATTGGGTTTTGTCCTGCGTTAGTTCGTACTGAGCTTTAACCAGAGGTTGTGGCAAGTCAAGTCTCAAGTCAAGTTGCAAGTGTAAGCCAAGTCACAAGTCATCCGGTCCAGACATGAGTCAAGCCACAAGTCATTTGCCCACAGGTCAAGTCAAGTCACAAGTTAATTTGCACCAAGTACAATGTCATGCAGTAGTCAAGTCGCGCGATGTGTGATTTCAAGCCACAAGCAAGTGATTCAGACGTGGCCTTGGGCAGGCAAGACCGAAGTAGAAGTTGCGATCTGAAGGAAGTCTTACGTTGATTATCTTCAGAACGCAAGGCGTAATGAGTGGTTTTCCGACTTCGGTTTGCAACAAGTCCTAATGTGCAAGTCCAAGTCAAGTTACAATTCAAAACTGATAGTTACAAATCAAGTCACCAGTCACAAAAATAGCGACCGGAGTCCGACTCGAGTCCAAGTCAATGGACTCAAGACTGGTTTTAACAGACTAAAGTTACTAATAAAGCCATCCATTTTAACATCTAACTCAGACTTCAGGAACACATTAGGAAAAAACTTAGCCATAACGCCTAAAACAGTTTTGTTGCCCTCATCAGTGACCCCAAAACCTGAAAATTTCTAGTCAC